ATAATTTTTATTTTTTTAATAATAATTAATATAAAAAATACAATAATTACACTTTTAACCTTTTAAACAAACCCATAAAAAATAGTTTAATTTATATAATTCTATTAATTTATACTTACTCAGGATGTTTAATGATATTAGTTTATGGACTAAATTTAAAATTTTAATTATTATATATCAATTATTTTAATAACTATAATTATTAATTATTTTATCAATTATTGTTTATTAGTGACAATTATTAGTTATTCTTAAAAACCTGAGTAAACACAATTACAATGTTTTTAGCTTTTGTTTATCAATATTATATTATATTATATTATATTGAACTAAATTATAATTTTTTAGTCTTTTACTATTCTAATCTAAAAGTATAAAAAATGATTAATATTCATTAAAAATTATAAATGCATGCATGAGAGAAGACGTCGTAAAATGAAGACTAAATTTTTGTGGCCATAACTACGGCAAGAACTCCTTATCTCTCCTTATATTTAAAAGCTGACATGATCTTCAAGTCCTATTCCAGCCTAGTATACCTTCCCAATACTTGTCACGTGGGCTGACTCATGACAGATTCGGTATAATCTTGGGGACAGGTAGGAGCCAAGGAAATTTGATAGGGGGTTGAGAATTATTGTTAAAATTTTAAGTTTTTTAATATTTTGTAAGATATCAATTTATTTTTTTGAAAATCTTTTTTTATTAATCTTTTTTATTGATATATTATTAAAAAAAGATATAGATGTATTTATTAAAATAAAAAATAAAATATCAGAATAATAAATTATGTAATGATCAATTGAAATATCAATAGGAAAAAGAAAAAAATTTGTTTGTTAGCTAAATCTCTAAAAGAAAGAAGGAAAACACTAAAAGATTATATTATTTTAATAAACTTGCATTGAAAAAAATAAAAACAACACATTTTAAAGTAAGAATAAAAGTGGTTTGGTTTTATTGAAATAACATAATTTTGAGGTGCTTTTCTTTGTAATTTTTTGGAGTTTATGTTAATAAACACTAATATTATAAAAAAAAAAGTTAAAATATATCTTTTAAAAAGTAAAATTTAACTTATATTGATTTAACACAAAAAATATATAACTATAAATTCAATCATGAAAGGTAAAAACCTACAACGATGCCAAATAAACAAAAACTTTAAGTTATTGTATAGAATTTTAAGAAATATAAAAAAAAATACTACAAAAAACTGTAAGTTTAAAATTGTTTGAATAGAGAGTTAAAGTTTTTATTATTATTATTATTTGGGCTTAATAAATGAGGAAATGTTTAAGAACTCTAATTCTAAATTAATTAAACTAATATAAAGTTCATTTCATTTTGAATCGTATCCTTACTTTTTGAAAACTGTTTATTTAAATTCTAAATGTTTTCTCTACATTTGAAATGGGTATTGAAATTCATATTATAGAAACAAAATTTTTAACAAAACAAAAGTTAGAGTACCATATTGAATGTTTTTCAAAAGTTTAGGGGGGCGGCTGCCCCCCTTGTCCTTCTTTGGCTCTGTCCCTGCTTGGCGACCTATGGCAACTGCTGGGACAATAACAGACTTCCCAAGGAAGAACCTGCCCTGATGCATCGTGATATATTAATTGATATGTGGGTTGAAATACAAAACAATAATTTAATTTTAAATTAATTGATATTACAATTTGCGGATGACACAGTTATCTTGGGTGAGGCAAGAAAAGAAAATATTCTTACGGTAAAAGCTATACTGAGGTGGTTTGAGTTGATGTCGGGGCTGAGGATTAATTTCAGCAAGAGTTGTGTGTATGGTTTTAACATGTCGGACAGTTGGGTGAGAGGGGCAGCAGGGGTTTTGCATTGTGGTATAGGGAAGACACCTTTTATGTACTTGGGAATGCCTGTCGGAGGTAATCCAAGGTGTAAGAAGTTTTGGGCTCCGGTTGTTAGTAAATTTCGCCAAAAGCTTGCCGTCTGGAAGTCTGCCGTGCTGTCCTACGGGGGGCGTCTCACGTTGCTAAACTCGGTACTTTCTGCTCTTCCTACTTTTTTTATGTCCTTATTTTATATGCCTAATTCTGTGTTTGCTCAATTAGTCGCTATTCAAAGGGAGTTTTTGTGGGGGGGCTCAGGGGAGAAAAGAAAGATCTCATGGGTAAAATGGGAGGCGATTTGCTGGAGTAAGGAGAAAGGAGGATTAGGTGTTCTGGATTTGCGTAGGAGAAATTGGGCGCTTTTAGGGAAATGGTGGTATAGGTTAGGGGATGGAAGGGAGGGGTTGTGGAAAAGGGTAGTGAAAGAGAAATTTTACGAGGGTAAGCAAGAGGTGGGGATGATTGATGTGGTGAGTTTGAGGGTATTGCAGATTTGGGGAGATATTATTAGAATAGGGGGAAAATCAGAGAAGCTCAAAAATATGTTAAGGCATGGGTTCCGGTGGGAGGTGGGGGAGGGTTGTCGGGTGTGCTTTTGGAGAGATATTTGGGTGGGGAATAAATCACTAAGAGATTTATTTCCAAGGCTGTTTCAATTAGCTATCAACAAGGAAGGTACGGTAAAGGAGAATGGTTTATGGGAAGGAGAAAGGTGGAAATGGGGTATAGAGTGGAGGAGAGAGAGGATGGGATGCGAGAAAGATGAGGAGCAAGGGTTGGGGGTGGTGTTGGCAAGTATAAAGTTAAGGAAGGGAATGGCAGATGTATGGAGATGGAGGCATGATGTAGAAGGGAGGTATGTTGTCAAGATAGCATATGAATTCTTAGCTCCTGAGGAACGCTTGCTTGAGGGTCAATTATGCAATTTAATATGGTGCAAGCTGGTGCCTTCAAAAGTGGGGTTTTTAGGGTGGAGGTTGTGTCTAGATAGGCTTCCGACAAGATGGAATTTGTGGAAGAGAGGGGTGATGTTACAAGGGGAAGGTATGGTGTGTGGGCTTTGCAAAGAGGGAGTGGAGGAGGTTAATCATTTGTTTTGCACATGTAAAGTAGCTTGGTTAGTATGGGTGAAGGTGTTTAAATGGTGGGGTGTGGAGGTAGTAATGCCGGGTACAGTGAGGGGTGTGGTGGATTTCTTTTTGTGGTGTTGGGGGAGTGTGGGGGAAAAGGAGTTGGGAGCATGCATGTTTTTGGTCACATCTTGGTATTTATGGTTCTGGCGGAATAGTTTGGTTTTTAGGAATAATGGGGAGCTGAAAGAGCAATTGCTGGAGTTAATTCAAGTGAAGTCTTATTTATGGATTAGAAATAAGGTGAATGGGTGTGTTTTTTCATTAGCTCAGTAGCAAAGTAATCCTAAGGAATGTGCCAAGGAGTTGAAGAGTTTCAAGAGATCTCTTAAATTGTTCGCGCAGCAACAGCAGAATCATCGTCCCACTTAGAAGGCATTGGCGGTATGGTTTTTTACACGGAAGGCTGTACGCGGCAGTGGTAATCTGGTCTCTAGTTTGATTGCTTGGGTTGTCATTATGGTTCTGTAAGGGAGTTTCCTTGTTGTTTTTATTGGGTGATTAAGCATTTTTTCTCTTTGTAGAAGGGCAGGAGTACCCCTTGTGCTCCATTAAATAAATAAAAAATTTTGTTTTGCTGATCAAAAAAAAAAATTGATATTAAGTAACATAACTCATCTTTTATCTAAGTAACATACAATTCCTCTTATATTTCCATATAGGATTCTCACTCTTTCTTTTCTTATGTGCAAAATTATTGCGAACTTTAAGTCTTGTCACATGCGTCTTAGTCTACAAGCTTAATATGCCTTCTTCATGGGTAGGCTCAATTAAGTTTCCCATGAAAGGAGATGAACTTTGATATCGTGAAAAAAATTGATATGTGAGTTAAAATACAAGACAAGTATATAACTTAAAATCAATTAATAATAGATAGAGTAATTCATTTTATATCTAAACTATATATTTCTTTGTTATTTTATTAGTGTGGTATTTCTTATTCAACAGATTCTTTTAATTTGCATGGATAGCATTGTCTTTGCGTCCTATTCTAAGCCTAGTATGATCTTTGATACTTATCATACAAGTTATAACATGCACAAACTCTAGATGTGAAAATTGACATATGGATCAAAACATAAGATAAGTAGCCAATATAAAATCGATTAGTAATAAATAAGTAGAGCAGTAAATAGAAGACATCACTATCGTAGTTGCTTGGGCAGTATTTGTTTCCCCTTCCTTGTGCACAAATTCTTGACCTTTTATAAGTTTCATCACTTTCTTCACATCTTTCTCAAGCTTCGGACGATATAATTTAAGGTGTCCCACCTCATTACGATTGTAGCAAGTCTTCATGTTGCGGTGTTTGACACCTTCCTTCTTCAACACAAATAATAATGCCTATTTCTGGCCAAGGTATTGACACTGTCGTGCCTTGAACTAGTTTTTCCAATAAGGTGCCAACACCTTGTTGGTGGTTGTGTTGCAATCTTCTCTTTAGGTACCTGGGCCTTGCTTGTCCAAGGTAAACTTAAACTTCAAGAAATTAAGGTCGATCTCAACAAAATCATGGTAACTTCAATGGTTTGATCGATTAGTAATTAAGTATAATTTCATATGTCAAATTTAGAATTTAAATTTGAAAGCTATTATTTCAAAAAATTTAACACTACTAGAAAAGATGTTACAATCGATTGAAAATGTTGTCGGTTATATAATAAATTATGTCGATTATACATATAGTTGAAAAAAAAATTGTCGAATAAACCTGCGACAAAAATAAGTATAATCTACACGATTATACATTGTAATCGATAGCCATGTCTATTATTATACATGGCTGTCGATTATGCTAATATCTAACTTTAAAAAAAATTAAAAATAATTTTATATTTATTAACTAAATTATAAATATTAACCAAAATATATGTAAAACAATCATGTGTTGCAATAATATATATGTATATATCTATAGATAAATTTATAAAAACTAATTGAAAATTAGAATATTTTACAAATATTATGAAAATAATAAAAAAAAAAAAAGAAAATTGAAAGCATAAATCGAAAGTAGTATTAGAAGTTACCTCATAATATGATTTCAATGTCAATAACTTGCAAAAGAAAAATAAATGTTATTAGATCAAATAAAAATAATTGAATAATATAGAAACTAAAATAAATGAAAAAATAAAAACCCCCAAGACTTAGAAAGGTAGAAGGAATTAAAGGGAAAAGGTCAAATGACGTAAAAACAATGAAAGAAGAAGAGGAGAGGTAGCTAGAAAGGGAAAAGACCAAAAATTAAAATGGTAGAGTTTAAGGAGAAGGGAGGATGAAGAAAGTTAAAAAGGAAAAAGACAATAAAAGATTTAGAAAGGTAGAAGAAAAGAGAGAAGATGAAGCAAGGTAGAAGAGAAAAATGGGGTGCGCACATCTATA